CAGGCCTAATCCATGTGATTTTTTTCTCACAAACTCTTGCGAGTGGAAACCACATATCAAAAATAACTGATAATCTGGGCCTTTTCCATTTGATGTTTGAATCCACTGATACAAAGTATTATCAAGACAATCAGTGGTGGATTCTTCTTCATTCATATTCAGAATCGTACGCAGGTGCATGTGAGAAAGCTTGATTTTATTTTTGGCTAAAACCTGAGATGGCAAAGCTAATATTAAAAAATGGTCTTATTTCCAGTCAATAGTATTACTTTGACCACTTGATTCACTTCACACTGTATCCATTTTGCTGCGAGCTCACCATTGGCAATCTTCATAGATTTGTTTCCACTGACTGTGTAAAAACTATGTACATATACAGTATATCCTTCACTGAGGGAATCCACAAAAATCTACATGTACACATATAATTAACATCTGGAGACTGATATTGAAAATTGAATTGAGACAAATTAATGGACTGCATGTACGGACAATCTGCATATTAATTATCTGAATGCTGAGTGTACGAAGGTACATGTACATGTCAATGCACACGAAAAGGTTCTTCCTTTTAATAACTTGTGTATATTCATGCATCAATGTAACTGTAAATCCATGTGCTTTGGGCTTCAGTCTGGTCCAATGCATCACCCTCAAAAGGAAAAAAACTATTTCCAGTGGTCCTTTTTGAGAGAAAACAATGGTCAAAGTAGACCTTTGACAATGGATCCAGAGAGGGGCACATCCAGTACATCCCAATTAACATTTCTTTCTTTTCTTGGAACCCAGGCTCCTTTTGCTGTAACCATCAAAAACAGTCAAAAATTCCTTCCACTTCCCCTGTACAGTACATACACATACCATATGCCACTTGAGTGATTCTGACTGATAGGACAACTGTGTTGAGAATGCATCTTTGCATGGGAGGGTTTTAATTAATGTTCTTATTGAAGGGAGAGATAAATCTGCATCCTGGTTTTCTCAATGGTTTGTTTTCGACGTGTTATATAAAACTAGTTTTTGAACTGTCGTTGATCTTAGATCTTTGTCTGTTTGTGTGTTATTTACTTCCATTTTCCTGAAACGAATGTCCAGCAAGTTTTCAACTGCCACTCAGGTGTCCCAGGCTACAGTATGTACGGTATACAAGAGTTATAATAAACAAAGCGGAAAAAATAAGGACACACACCTTGTCACACAAATTAACATGAAACAGGTACATGTACAATGTAGTTAGTACAGGTGAAGGGCCAATTTAAGGACTGAACAGCTTGCCTGGCAACTGTGATGTTCTTTAGTGGCCTAATAAATGAAGGGCAAATTTTATTTTGCTGACGCTTGAGTCATGTGACTTTACAACCATTGTCTAATTTTGAACTGTTCTATTTTCCTGTGTAGAAAGTGCAACATCAGTACATGCACAACCTATTTAGCAAATTAGCTTCGATTTAAAAAGTTCTGAATATGATAAAAACAGTCTTGTTTATCCTGCAGGTTACTTGTGTACTCGTGAGTCTTGGTGTGCATTTCAAACATGCACACGTACTGTACAATGTACATGTTCACGTACACGAGCAGTTATAAATCAAAATGCCGTTGGTATATGTGCTGCAAAGCTGCATATTGATCCCCAGACATGGTGAAATGTAGTGCTTATGAACCATGGATATATGCAATGTACATCTACAGTACATGTACACATACATGTAGATCTTTTTTTTAAGATGGTGGAATATGGTATGGCAATTTTTTCGTGCAAGATTTTCAAGATACATGTATATCGCTGCCCCCGGGCAATATACAGTGTGTTTTAAAGGCCAGTAGACTACATGTAGGGAGTCTCAGACATGTTACTTAAGAGGCAATATTGCATCTACACCATGCAAACGCATTCACAATTAAATCACTAGAGTTGTAGAATGTGCACACATGCATGCTGATGATCCGTGGACACAGCAGATGAATAAGTTTATTAGCACACAGCATGACTTGGCTATAGCTGACACATTTGATCAAGTCCGTTATACCTGTAATCCAATATGAATCAATTCTATTTTTTTTCTTTTCCAATAAATTAAGTTACAAAGCCAGCCATGCACTGGTGACTGCCAGTCCAAATCTGGAGCTCAACATAAACCCTTCATTGCAGTGTTGAAGCCTCAACCATCTGGCTGGCCATAATGGCTGAAAGGGCCAAATAAAAATGAAACTATAATTACATGTACATGAACACGTAAGAAGCGCAGTTTGAAATTTCAACAATATGACACATCCTGATGTGTATGTTGTCATGTGATGGATAAACAATCGCTCATAATCATACATGTACATCATACATGTACTTGTACATGTAGGCCCTACCACTGGCTGCAATCCAGCTACTGCAAATCCATAACTACATGTATACGAATCATGAAAATCTTAACCAATTACCTTTTAGGGCTGAGTCAATTCTAATAATTTACTATTCGAATATTCGACCTTCAATTTAATCAAATATCCAAATATTCGGTCGTATCAATCGGCAGATTGTTGATGAACAAACCATAAACAAAATCAGTTGCAATAACACACACATTTGTACATCATAATCACTATAATACATGCAGCTTCTCACATGTAAGAGTATCTCTAGCCACGATTAAGCAAGATTTAAAAGATGAACAAGATTTATAGCCCTGTCTAAAATTTTTATTCCCTTTCATTTGTTTGATGAATAATTGACTTTTTAAATCATTGTAAGATTTCAGAAGCTTTTCATTGGAATCTGCTTGAAACAAGCCTCCATAGTGATGTTTCTCATTTATAACAAAAGAAAATTTTCCCTTACTTTTCATGAATTTTGCATTCGAATATTCAAATTTGAAAAATAATAAAATCAGAATAAAAGAGATGCGAGCATTAATTATTCCACATTCCAAATGCCGAGTGTTACATGTACAAGTATTAAACTGTTTCTCATCTTGGTTCCTGGCTTTCCTGATAAATCCATCCACCCATTTGAGAACTCCCCTTTATGGATAACTAACTTGAGCATCCAATTCAGTAGCATTATAACATCAAGCTCTTGACAAGCAATGCTCTATTGTTGGCACAGAGAGTGTGACTGAGGGAGATAAAGATGGTGCAACCATGGGCATCTACAAATCAGATCAATAATGCAGAAGTATCATGGCCTCGCTGCTGATTAGGTAGTTAGGCTTATGGTATGCAATTCCTGAACAAAAGTGTACATGCACATGTACCTACATACATGTATACATGTACCTAAAGATTCAGTGGGGGATCTCTTTTAATTGATTTCGTTCAGGTATAGAACCACAATACTATATACATACATGTACATGTATATGCAGAATATGTACATGTATTCTGTGCTGGTGAAAAGACATTAAAGAACTGTAGTACATGTACGTGTAGCTCTGAACTTGGGAGTTGCCGGGGGGGGGGTTCCGGGAGAGGGAGGGAGGGAGGAAGGGAGGTGGGAGAGCACTCGTCAGCAGCAAACCACTAACTTCTTTTTAGTTTCATTCCTTTTTCTTTACTTTTTCAAAGTGAGATTACAATGCATTCAACACATACTTTTACTTGTAAATTGGCAGCCCATAAAACATTGATTTTCTCCTTAATCCTCCAATTTCAATATTCTTTTGCACACACCCTAGGGAGTTAGAATTAATACCTGGAAAACTTAGATTCTAATATCAGGCTTTTGAAACATGTTGACTGGTATGATGAGCAGTTTGCCCTTCTTTAAATCCTCAAGGGGTGCATTTCCCCTGAGGTGCTATATATGCACCCCTAACACACAGGAATGGAAACAACATACTGTAAATGCACCCGCTGTACATGTAACACCAGTCAATATTTAACCATTGTTGACTGCTGTGATGTGGGATGACGTTTTGAACACCCTCAGGAATGCACAGCGCCCTCGGCTTCACCTATGCATCCCTCAGGTGTTCAAAACGTCATTTCAACAATTGTTTTGTCTAACCTGTCTTAATGCTGTTGAGGCTAAGAAATTTATCCAAGGAAACAAGCTCGGATTTTCAGGACAATAGGCCACTGTCAAACTCTATAATTAACATAACAGACATAAACGATATTGTCTGCGAATGCACTGTTCCCTCACTTTCTTTAATTGCATAAACTTTAATGTGAAAGTAGTGTGGGTACCAGTGAGTACAAGTTCACCTGTCACGTAGT